AATTTTTCTAAAACTTGTTCAACTATTATGTGTGCCTATGTATGTAGTAAAAAACCACGACAAGTGGTGACATGTTAGAGTTAAGCTTAAGTGAAATGCTATAAACTTTTTTTTTTTCATGTTTAGAATGCTTGAAATAGTTTACATGTATGGATAAATGTTGAAATTCAAATCTATATCCATCATAATGCAAAAAAATTATATGAATTTACTTTTCATGTATAAAATTATAAGGTTGATTTGTTACACATGCAGAAAAAATCAATGAATACTTTAGTGATTACGATTATACATGACATATTATTACAATCATAATTATTATCTTATCCTCTGCTATTGAAAGAAAGGAAGTAATATAACTTTTCAAAAGTATTAACTTTGTTAAAGAAATTCGATATTATTTTTTTTTAAATTGTTATTTTAACGTTTTAGTGTCCATTGTTTTTTCTCCATACTTCTAAAAGGCTCACCTTTCCTTGACTATAAACCGTTATATTTAGATCATGATACTTTTAATGGTCAATGACTCTCAACTTACTTTAGTGTCTTTATATAGTTTTTAGTTAGTATTTTAGTCTCAAATATTAAAAATTTAGGATTTAGTCCATGTTGTCAACTCCTTTCTATTAAATTCATTCTGGGTTGACTAATGAAGAGTCAACTGAATACTCTCACATAGCATGTCACGTCATTTAAATTTATAATATTTTATTATTTAAAATTAATATTTGTAGTTAAGTTCTTAAACACATTTTAAATATTTATAGAAAAGTCTCTTTCTCTTCCTATCTCCAACCCCTCATCTTTCTCCTCTTTACTGTACCTTTAACTCCTTCCTTTCTACTTCACTCTCAACCTACACCCTTCCCTTTACCCCACTCACATCCCCACCCCCATCCTACACCACCCCTCCCCTTTATTCCACTCCCAACCCGCACCCCTTCCCTTTTACCCTACTCTCAACCTTAATCCCACACTCTTTTCTTTTCATCCCAACTCCAACTTCACCTAGCACCCTTGTCATTTCTTTTTTATCTTTTACCCAACTCCCTTTCACTCCCAACCACATCCCTTACTCCTTTCTTTTTACCTTAACTCCACTTAGTGTAACGTCTTATATATTTTTTTCTCAATATATGATAAATTTTCATAAAAATTTAAATGATAAAGTAAATTTTTTTCAAAAAAACTCTCTAATGAGAAAGAATATTGAAATTATATAAGGTTCATAGAGTAAAATTTCATTAATTCATAAATACTTTAGAAAAACAAAGATTCTAAAATTTTCATTTGCAACAAAAAGAAAGAGTAGTTTTACAACTGTTCTAAAAGAATGCTATAGAACTGAAAATATTCATTACATAACTCAAAATAACTAAGTCCTATAGCAGTTCTCATCCATCCATGCACTGTGAGCCTGGTACTACTCATCCTAGTTTCTTGAAAATGTTGTGTAAGGGTGAGTCTCTACCCTACCACTTATACATAACACATATTCATCATAAAACACATCTTATCACGATTAAGAAAATATCATGGTATTACATATCACAGTGTCATATAAAACAAGTTCTCTTCTCAACACATAAACACATATTATATTCCACAGATTCATAAGTTCTTTTTCTTTTACCCGCGCTTACCGTGCCCTGTAGCCACAGTTATCCGATGTCTCTATCCTGAGGTCTTACACATCCATGTAAATAGTCGCCAGATGGCCCAATGCAATACGGATACAACGCATGCAATAGACAACCCCTTAGCAAAGATAATGGTCAACAGTCAAGTCAGAAAACGAGTGTGCGGCCATGTAGTGCATTCGTACACAATATTTCGTGCACAATTCCGAATGTCACTCACCACCTTGCATATCCCCAAGATATCCTATATTGTCTCCATCTTCCATTCCTCCAGTGTATCTCTGTAACTATTTATATCATATCCTTTTCCATCACATACTCTTTTCAGTATATTCACATGTTCACATATGTCATTTCTCATGTTCACACATATTTTTCATTGTATTTCCATATAATTTTGATCATATACATCAAACCATGGCATATTCACAATACACATCATTTTTACATGAACCACAATATATTCAAACATGAAGCATCCATCTCTTTGTATTTCATATCACAAAATCATAAAATCATATCAACCATCCTCAATATACCTTATCATACACTATTTGAACATAATAACATATTTTCACCATGTATTCATCATAAAATCACATAAACAACCAATTATTCTCACTTTTCACCGATTATTTTTCATAAAATAAGAATTATTCCACATATAATCACATATATGACAAGATATATGAGAATACAAGTAATAAACATAACAAAATGATAAAGTAAAGCCCCCTTACCTCAAAATAGAGCTTTTACAAAGATTTAATCAAAGATTTAACTCTAGAATGAAGTTTTTCCTAAGAACACCATGAACATCTATAAGACAAAGAAGAAAAGGAAAAACGAACGGTAAATCTAACTTCAAACTTAGAGAAACTTACTTGAAATCCTTTAGAACGGACGTAGAATCACATATCTGAAGAGAAATCTAAGTTTATGAGAGTTTAGTACTAGAGGAAATGGTGAGATATAGCCTTAGAACCTTTGAGAACATTGGATAGGAGTGAAGAAATGAAAATTTCGTGTGAAAACCCTTTTTATAGAAAATTTTTGAAATGTACTGTTTACCGTCAGAATTATTGTTTACGCCAGAAACACTGTTTGCAATCACTGTTCACCGCCGGAAACACTGTGCAGTCAGCATGATGTCACTGATGATGTCATCATTTATATATATATATATATATTCCATTCAAATCTATTCTAATTATACTTTAATAAATCTCATTTTATTTAAATCAAAGTGCAGGATATTACACTTAGTACCTCCTACCTGCAACGAGTTTCTTCTCTTAGGTTGGGGATTGAAGTAGTTGCAAACATGGGTTTGCTCAAACTCTAAGCTTCTAAGGTGTTTTTCACTTTGTAAATGGACAACATCTTCTTATCAACCTTGCCTAATTCTCTGAACTTGTCAAAGGTTGTTTTAGGTGACTTTTGATGTTTCGATTTGGCAATGGTTGGGTTCTATTAGGGAGTTTCCAAGAACACTTCCTTCAGTTTCTCTTTTTCTATTGTTTTGTTGCTTTTTGAAGGTTTTGGTTTATCTCAGAAAGTGAAAGGTCATTAAGAAAAAAATTAGAAAATAAATCATAATAGTTTTATTCTTTTTCTTTTCTCAACCATAAGAGAAAAGATCGTAGAGAAGAAAGAGGAGAAATTTTTTTTTTTTTTTTAAGATCAAGATAAATTTTTTTAACTTTTGTTACGTGAAAAATTGCAAACTCAAAAGAAAATTATATCTAACACATTTGACATGAATCATCTTCTCTAATAACTCTAATTTTTTATTTTAGTTTTTTACTTTTCTCCTGACAATTTCTTACTTGGCACATTTTCTAAGCATATAAATTGAGGCCAAAACACAATAGAATGGGTGTAGTTCTTGGAGTGTAATATGGAATTGGAGATTTAGTGAGGACATTGAATTTAAAACAAAACAAGACAGAAGAATTGCCTTTGGAAAGGCCAACATCAAAAAATAAAAAAAAAACAAACATGACACTTTCCAAAAAAATAATCATTCTGTGGATTCACATACCTTTTTTCTCCCTGTTTTTCTTTACGGGTTTCAAATGTCTTTTTCTAGTATTTAATCCTTTTGTGCATAACAAGTAATAATAATAATTAAGAAGGTGAAAAGTAGAATACTAATAATTTTTTTATTATTATTAGTAGTAAATACTGTTGCTACTAATATTACTCTTAAACATCAAATAAATATTTACTCTTTTTTATGTTATTTCAATTTTTATTATCACTGTAATTAAGAGATTATCATGTTTTTATATAAGTATCTTTTGATAAAATTTCATAATCCATCAATATTTAATTTAATTTTCACACAAAATATTAATTTTTTTCAGAATATTTTCATTCAAGAAATAAACCATAATAATAAATATTTTGGTTTTGTTTCATATGTGTGTAACAATTTGCAACATTGTACAACTTGAGTGATTATAAAATGATGCTCATCTGTACAATTTTATGTATAATTTGTTATCTTTTAAACTTTGTGCAACATGGTTTTTGTTTTAAAAATATTTTTTTAGATTTTATTTTAGGTTATTTGGTAAATTTTTATCACAAATAACTCGCACATTAATTTGTGATATTGATGTATAATTTTAGATCACCTCCAATTACATATGTATGTTCTTTTTGTTATTATATTATATGTACTTTTTTGGATTAAGTATTCACTTTTTTATTTAGTATTTTTATTTATTTATTTATTTTGCATTGCACTAATATCATTAAATCAAAATATTATTTTCAAAGAATTAATAATATATTATATGATTATCTATAACTCTTATAAAATTAAAAAGAAGAAATATTATAATTATTAATAGTAACTATTCTATTTTATTAGATAAAATAAAATATAAACTTAAAACTTTAAATTAAAAATAAATACACTATTTAGAAAAAATAATTTGATATTATTGAAAAATAATAATTTATAAAAAATTTCCTATTTGATACTATTTATAAAAATAATTTTATTTAAAAATATTTATAAAAATATTTCGTTCAATACTCACAATTTATTAATTTAATCTTTATTCAAATTTAAAATGTATATATATTTTTAATTAAAAATTTTTAATTTTAATTTAATTTAATAAAATAAAATATTATTTTTATAATAAAATATTTACTTCTTTTTAATTTATTAAATTTAAAATAACTGCATTATTTTATTTTTATTAAAGAATTTAATTTAATAATACTCATACTTTATACAAAGCGTATGAAATAAAGAAATAAAAATCAATCTATCTTTAATTTTAAGTTGACTATATTTATAAAGTATTTTAATTAAAATTTATTCTGAAAACAGCTCATACCACAAATTTAGCACTGGAAATGGAAATCTTCAAAAGTCAAAATAAAAACATTGGAAAAGTGGTGACTGGGGAGAGAGACAATGGAGGGTGGAAACAGAAACCCTGGTTCATCAAGACGACGTCGTCACGGCCACAAGTTTGCTTCCAATGAATCCAAGGTTTCAACTTTTGCTGAAAGGGGCGCTCCTCCTTCTTCTACCAACGCTTCTACCTCTCATTTCAATAGCACGCAAGAGGATGCACAAGCACAAGGATCTTCCATAGTTGCAACGTGTCCTTATATGTGCCCGGGTAATAGTAATATCTCATTTATATTCATTTCTTGCTATCAGAGTTGCAAATTTGGATTTTATATGGCCGTGTCTTCTTTTTGTTTTAATTTTTTTCTCTTTTAATTCAACTCCAAAGCTTTTTTATCCATTATATTGAGAATGATTCAAATAAATTGCTCTGGAGCGCTGACGAGAAGAAACTGTTTTTACATGCGGAGAGAAGCTTTTCACATGGTTTTGTTTAAGTAGAAGTAAGATGGAGTATATGTGTTAGAGATTTGCAGCTATCAGTAGTTAGTGGCATATTAGTTATAGTAGATTATCAATATTTAGTTGGAACAGAATTATTTAGTTAGTTAGAAAGGGTAGAAGGACAGGGGGTTTGGCTCAAATAAAAGGAGGGGTAGAACTAGAAGAGAATGGCATTCTGCCATTAAGAACTGAGCTTTAGATTTGTTATAGAAGGGGAAACCCTTTGTGAAGGGGAGACATTTGGAGTTATCCTTGATCTATTCATTTTCAATCAACAAATAAAATCATTCTTTTTTTTTTCCCTATTTTTCACTCTGGTTTTAAGTTGACATGTATTTTAACCCTGGCTTGGAAGTGAAAACTGGAGATAATTTTGGCACCATTTATGATTGAAAGTTGCTGCCCAAGCTTAAAGGAAAATTTTATGGCATAACCATAAAATCAACATGCTTTATGGTATTTTGAATTTTTTATTGTTAGGCATTAAGTTCAACAAAAGCATTAGCTGAGTATCACAGAGATGAGAATGTTGTATGTATCAGAGAGAATGTAAGACTAGCACCTGCTGTGGAAAATATGGTGGAATTGCAGCTTAAATGTTTGGTCATGTTAGAAGACCAATAGAATTGCAAGAAGTGTTAATCAGATAGAGGATACCCCAATTGTTAGTGGTAGAGGAAAACTGAAAAAAAAAAAAAGGGAAACTATTAAAAAGGACTTAAATCTCAAAGGTCTATCTGAAGACTTAGCTTTTGACAAAACACAATGGTGTCATTTTTCATTTGATCCATGTGGCTAACTGTACTCAGAAGGCACAGGCTTTTGTTGTTTTTTGTTTTAATTTAGTAGATTCATGGCAGCATAAAATTTTCTAGATATTAAATATCAAGACACTAACCGTTGCTATTAAATTTCTTCATATGAAGTTCATATAAAATATATCTACCTGAAACTTCTATTTTCAAAGGTTTTCACTCTATCCACAGAAAGAGAGAGGATCCAGCGCGAAAAATTGCGAGATTTGGCAGTTTTTGAGAGGCTAAATGGTAATCCTGGAAAATCATCCCCAGCTCTTGCAGTCAAGAAGGTAGGGGCTTTCCTACATTATCTGGTATTACCTTATTAAGTGCACTTGTGTCTAGTTGATCAAGGATGTACTCCCAAGCACCATGCTGAATTTACTTTTCATCTATTTTGACAATCATTAATGCATTTAAGGTCACTGCAAGATTGTTATTGTGTCAATTAAATTGATGATGCCCATGTTATCATTTGTTCCTATGTTTGATGATTCCCATAAGAAATTATGTGCTGGGGGTCCTTATATGGTTCAAGTTTGATTAATTCAGTAATCTTAATCAAAAACAATGATGGATTAATGATTTATCATCATCAATTTCTTCAGTTTTTCTTTTCTTAATCTATATTACTAAGCAGTAAAAAGAATTTCTTGCATCAAAGAAATAGTTTGATTTTTGGATTTTGGTAAATGACAAACTCTTAAGAATAATAAAAGAGGAGGATAGTTTGAACCAGATCATGCAAATAAAATATAATCCTTGAGAAGAGGGATAATCAAGAAAGTGAGATGGTAACTTTGTAATTAATAGGCTCTCAAATCTCAATAAATGTTAGGGGAAACTCTTTATATTTATTTCTTGTTAAAGGTTCCAAATACTATACCAAATCATAATGCATGAAACATGTTAGAAAATACTTTCCTTAACACTCATTGTGAACTTTGCAAATCCAAAATAATTTATACTTGTCCTTCCTAAAATCTTTAAAACATCACAATTCACAGCTGCAGATTTGTGTTGAATGAACTGCTATGATCTTTGACCTATTATCAGAGCTTATTCAGATACTCCCAGCAGCTTTTTAGTTCAAATGCAAATTATCTTGAATTTGAACTTTGAAGAGCTTCAAAGCATGTATTACATGCATCAGGAGAAAATGCTTATTGTTTTTTCCAGGTTCACTGCAGTTTGTTTATGTTACTACTGCTGTGCAGCACCTAAGGTCTTTTCTTATCTTTTGGTACCATCAATGTCCATAAACCCAACGTACATGAAATTTAAAAGGATATCTACAATTTTTATTTATTTATTTTGGTATGACTTTGTTAGGTAACCCCCATTAGTAGTTAGTTATGATATATTAGTTAGGGACATGTTAATATTTAGACACAATATATAATTAGTTAGCCCAAATTAGTTAGTAGTTGGACAAGTTGAGATTGTTGAAGAAATAAGGTATATTGTCTCTATAAATAAGAGGGAGGAAGAGAGAGATCAGCTTGTCAATTGTGAGGGAGCTAAGGCCTTTGGCTTAGGAGGTGAAAAACCTTGAAGAACTATTGAGTGTGTGTTTTATTCTGTATGTTGGGAGTTTCAGTTTGTATTTCTTAATAAAGATACCAGTTTCTTTCAGACTCCTATTCATTAATGAAGTTTTTTAAACAAATTACCAATTAGGGAAAAGGTTAAGCAAATTTAAACTCATGGTTAATTTAGCTTGTGTTTGATTGACCATGAACTAATCATGGAACATTGGCTAACCATTATTTTTCACTTGTTAATTTGCTTAAATTTGAAATATCTCCACTTGGACTTTCCTTATCTTGATTTTCCATGTTTCATTGCCTTATATATTCTTTATTAACTTGTAGCTTAATGTGTAGTTAATTGTATTAAGCTGCATCTTGATATAAAATGTGTTTGAAAGACATGTAGCATATGCACTATAATGTAAAACTTTGTAAAGCATGTTACTTGTTTACTGCCTTTTTAGTTGTTCAATATCATATTTTCTGCATCCAGCATTGATGCATGATTATATGGCATATAAAGGGCTTTTATCCAGGATTACCTTTTCTGGTATTAAATATCGTCTAGTTTTGCAGCTTTTTATCTTCCCTTTTATTTATCAGTTTTGCAGAACTATATCCACCAAATATGTTCAAGCATCTGATATGCGGCCTATTACTGTATTGGAAGATACTTTAAATTACCTTTTGAGCTTGCTGGAATCTAAAGAGCATCCATTTGAAGTAGTTCATGACTTCATCTTTGATAGGACAAGGTCCATACGGCAAGATCTTACTATGCAAAATATCGTAAACAAGAAAGCAATTTACATGTATGAGGGAATGGTATAGTTTTCTGTTTCAATTTTCTTTGATTTATGTACACTATTCCTTTAATCATCTATTGATGTCAACTTTTCTCTTATAAGTTATAACAGCATTAGGGTAGATTATTTAAGTTACATTTCTGATACTTGATTTTGCACCCTTCAGGTTCACTAAACTTTGAAGATCCATTTTTCTAGGATGAAAAAAGTTACATTTAACACATTAGATTGATGTCTTTAAAAATGTTGTTGCTCAATGCCTATGCTTAATTGCAAATGCAAGTCTTTGACTGGGCACTAAATGTACTCCTGCCCCTTATGAAGCTGGTAAGGTAAGTTGATCAATTCAAATTAGTGAAAAAACGATGACTGCACATGTTGTTCAACCCCTCAAAAACCATTAACTTCCCTGGTGGATCCATCATGTGACATCCAATGTCCTTGACCCACTGTATCCCACAAAAAAAAAAAAAGAAGCAAGAATCCCTAAAAAGAAAAAATAGAAAACAAGCAGTTGGGCGACCCAATATCGTGCAGCACTGTGGAAGGAAACAAAGCATAAAATTCTCTATGGGTATGGAGGACGCGACCCAATATGAAGAGGCAGAGCAGGGACCAACTTTAGGCCTTTAACTCATAGGAGGGTAAGATAATCTTTCCCTCCAATCTTTAGTAGAATTAACATAAAAATACTTAATAATCATGCTTTTAGAGAATGGGGCTGCACACTACTCTGCCTATAGTTGTGCACAACAGTTGTGCACAACCTGGACATTTGCCAAGCTCATGATTCCACTTAGAATTGTGATTCAAACACAATCGATATGATTCCAGGCATGGTAGTTAAAATCGGGATGCGAATCGTAAAATCGTAGGATTTTACGATTTATCCCAGCCAATCGATTTAGAGCGCAACAAAAATCGGAGCTGACTGAAATCGGTGTGAAATCGCGATTCAGATCGGGAAATCGGTGAAATCCCGATTTACTCCCGATTTCAGCCAAACACGGGTCGGATCGTCAAATCGGCCCAAATTGTATATAATTCGAGCCCACCCAGCCTTTTAATTAGGCGCGAATGAAATCCTGAGCCCGACACAGCTTTTCAATTAGGCGCGAAGGAGTCCTGCGTTCTTATCTTCTTCATTGAACCTTAAGTGCACTGTTAGCTAAGTCCTCTTCTTCTTCTTGGCAATTTCTCTGGTTCTCTCTGCCCCAACCTACTCATTAGCTATTTTTTTCTCATCTTCCTCTTGTTTTTTCGTGGATTATGCTTAATAGTTTTCTTATGAAATATGAATTATTTAAGTACTTTTAGTGATTTAATATATTTTTTTTAATTTCAGCTATTTTATATGCAGAATATGAACTTATATTCATGTATATATAATTTTTATAAAATCTTACGATTCAATTTACGATTTTACGATTTACGATTTTTACTTCTCTTAACGATTTTAAGTAAAATCTTGATTTTAACTACCTTGATTCCAGGTGTGATTCTAAGTTGGTTTCGATTCATCTTGCGCAATATGGGGTACTTGTAAAAGGCACATGGATACCCAAATTAGGATTGTATTTGATAAGAACTTTAAGAGAGCCATACTACAAAAGGTAAGCTAGCTATTGAAGTTGGAGAACCCAAGGCCCCATAAATCTCACACTAGAATCTCCTAATTCCGATGTGAGATTCAAGTTGCTTATCTTATCATTGGATCCTAACATCCCCCCACACTCTGCAGCCCTAACACCCATGTTGGTTGGCTGTGCAATAGTCTTTTAACTAGTCTTGAGCAAATATTGCAATGCCTGCATCAACACCCATGGCTCTCATTTGCAGCTAAGAGACATGGTGGAAGACTCTCATACCAGTTAATAAGAACCTTAGGAAAACCATATTGCCAAAGCTTGCTGACTTCATAGACTTTTTGAACAGAAACTAGCAAATCTTTGGAAACATCAAGATGTAGAATAGGTGAATGGTCAGCCCATAGAATAAGAAACTAAAATTATAATCTTGAATATAAGGATCTCCCTGGTGGTAGGTAGCGATGTCAAGCTCCAACTGAAACTGTTTGGCAGCATTGTCCTAGTTGTAAATATGCTTAGGTAAATCTCACATCTCTTTAGCAGTAGAAAAGGAGCACAAATTGTTAATCATTTGAGGATCAAGAGAACCCAAAATCCATGTTATAACCCGAGCATCTTTTGTCTCCCATGCTACCAATGAAGCAATGCCTGCGAGACCAACAAAAGTACCATTGACATGGCCCCATAGGCCTTTGCCTTTCGCAAGCATCTTGAATTGAAACTCCAAGGCTCCATAATTTTTAGTCATTTTTTTCACTATAGATATTATCCCAATATTTTTCCATTTACTGTCATTTTGTATCCTATCCATTCTCGTGTGTCCACTCATCCATCTTAACATTCTCATTTGTGTCACTCTTACTTTTTTCTTGTGTTTTTTATTTAAGTTCTAATATTTACTACCATATAACTACCATATAAAATAGTTGGTTGTACTTTAGTATGATAGGTACTTTTTCTTTCCAGTTTGATAGGTACTTTAGATCACAAATAACTCTTGATGCCTTTCTCCACTTTAACCTCCCAGTTTATATTGTGAGTAACATCTTCATTAATAATATCCTCATCACTCTGTATAATCGATTCAAATACTTGAAACTGAAAACTTATAGTATAATATCATCTCCAATTGAACAAACCAAGCAAACCCAAAAACCAAGAACAGGGACTAGGGAAGCCAAACACAGACAAAGCTGATGGCAGTGCTTGGAACCAAACATGACAGAACCAGGAAACTCAAATTGGATGACGAGACTTAGTTGCTTAACCAAACACAAAAGAAGAACCAAGAACAACATATGATGCTGTTGCTGTACCAAGAACGTAGGTTACTAATGTGGAAAGATGACGAAGTCCAATGCCCCTTGCTGGTGCAGTAGGCATGATGCAAAAGAAAGAGCACATCTCTCAAGCTTGAAGGCTCATGATACCATGTCAAGAAATTTGGCTTTTGTCCCCTCTTTGATTTTCCCTTCCTCTATAAATAATACAGGCTCTTTTACAACTAATGATTACAAATTAATTCTAATTCCTAATTTATATGCTGGTTAGTAAGCTAACAAATTAATCCTAAATATATACAATTAATAGTATGAAAGAAGAATAATAATGGATTTCTCCTGATTAACAAGAATGGCCAAAGCCTTATATACCCTACACTAAATTTCCGTACTTCCAATGTGAAACTTAAGTTCCAAACCGTGCAATTTGATCATAACTGTATTCAAGATAGGCTTGAGTTTGGGGCTGCTTATCAATTTGGGAGGTGTTTCCTCCCATATATCTTATGCTAGTCTAGAGACATGCTCTTTATTTACACAGTCAAGCTGGCTCATGTTGTCGTACGGTATAGCATGCTTTTTGAAGCATAGATTTACAAGTTATGGAATTCAAATAATGAGCTGCACAATATATTTAATCACGCAGGTCAAATTCCATGTTGTATCACATTACAAGCTTTGGTGTTCTATGAATGATCCAAACATTGCATCAATGCATCATCTCAACATGGAACAGCTCACAAAGACATTAACATCTTTATTCAATCTGTATGAAGCAAATCGGAATTCAAATTATGTGCATGAGAATGAAGCTGAGTTCCACTCATTATACGTGCTGCTTCATCTTGGTTCTTACAGCAAACCAATGGTTAATCTTTACATCATTGGTGTGATTAATTATGTTACTCTTTCCATTGTTAATTTAGATATGTCGGATCTTAAGTTATGTTAATGTAGATATTTCTAATTCACAGGGGAAACCGCTTTCTTTGTGGTTTAGAAGTGTGTCAACTCTAGTATTGAAGTCAAAAGAAATGTGTTTTGCAAGGAGAATCTTACGGTAACCTTTCTCATAATCATTTATTATGAACCAATCATTCCAAAAACTTAAACTGTTAGATGAAGACACATGAATGGTTTTATATTACATCTCTAACATTACACCTCATGTGAAAATCCGTTGGGCTTGAAGCATAGAAAATCCACAGGACCATCTATCATGTGCTGAAATTCAACTTTTTATTAAAAGGATAGGGTAGCAAGGATCAATCTTTGCAACACCTCGTCATAAAAGTTTTGATACAATATCATGAACTAACTATTCTTAATGCTTTAAGTGGTAGGTGAACGTACAGGAATGGTTTTATATTGCATCTGACATCATTAACATTCTTGATTTTAATAATTGAATGAATTACTGTTTTGGTTTGCTCTTAAGCCAATTTGTCATATTTAATAACAACTATGAATGCGTGTCAATTATTGATATTCTCTTTTCTCTTGACAGATCTTTCCGACTTGGTAATTATAAGGATTTCTTCTGCACTGCAGCAGCTCAGGCATCATATCTGCAGTTCTGCATTATGGAGCCTTTTATCAATGAAGTAATTACTGTAACTAGAGATTGCATTATTTTCTTAATATTCCATAACTTATTTATTAGGCATTTTATTTGTGTCTAGGTGGGATACATGCTTGCTTACATTGTGCTTTTGTAACTTTTGCCTTTTGTAATAGCCATCTTTAAGAATAACAATAACGAGGAATGCTAGCAACACACCTTTTACACACTCCTAATTATTGGCTGAAATTTTTTGAAATCTATAAAAGTATGAAAGAAAAATATTAATTTAGGAGATAGAAGGAGTGACACCACATGATTTCTGTAGTTTTCAATAAATTTTAGCTAATAGTTAAAAGTTTGTTAAAAAGAGGGTGTTAGAAAGTGTATTGCTAGCATTCCACTGACTGTAATGGTAGTTATTGATGGCTAAAATATCAAAGATCTACATAGTAGATGAAGTGCAGATGAAAGACACAAAACATTAGAAAGACGCAGAACATTATATCAGAATCATCGCTGTTTTAGCAAAATTTTACATGTGAGGCTTAGTCCTCTTATTTCTCCCATATTCTAAATAAATCAGATAAAAATGCCTACAACATATCTCTTGCTGATGCTAACATCCCCGACAAATCTCATTCCAAACCAGATTTTGTGTACTTCACACACAAAATTGCAACAGGCATAAGTCTGTGTTGTAGGAATATTCCTTATGCATATACCCTCACACGGAAGTTAAGGATGAAGGGTGCTATTGTTTGAGGGTCTTGATCACAGAAAATAAATGAATAAATACCAGCATCTTGCTCCACTTTACCTGTAATTTCCACCTTTAGTTTGTTACTTATAATTTATTCCATGCTTTGAAGGGCTGCATAGATCTATTGATGACATCGGGCTCTATAAGAAACCAATTTTTCAATATATCATTAAATTCTTTTATAGTATGATCTTTTTTAATAGTTTAACTTGAAGTTTTCTTTGGTTTGCCTCTGCTTGTCTTGTGCTTTGCCAAACTTAACATAACTAGTTCCAAACCTGGATGAAAGAAGAGGGTTGAGTTAGGCAGTCGTTAGCCAACGCAAAATTTTGTGCTATAGGGGAAAAATGAAAAAATAAATAATTGAATGCGTAAAGAAGAAATGTGTCAATGTTCAGTTGTTTATAGAACTGTATTCTTGTTTACAGATGTTTGTCAACTTGTTGAAGGCATATAATGTGTGTAATTCTTGAATCTTGTTCAGTTGTCTCTGTTCTGCATATTGTGTGTTTGTGAGATAACTTTACTACTTTTACCTTTTTCGTGAGAAAATTCATCATATGGTTCTTCTTGGAGATGGATCTTTCTATTTGCTAACATATTGATAGTATCTCTTTCTGCATTAATTGATAAGGTTTTACTTGTATGTATTTTATACGCTAAAAGGTTCGTGCGCTGGCTGTATCTTGCATAAATTTTGGTGGATACAAACTTCATCCATATCCTCTGTTGGACCTTTCAAAACACCTGATGATAAAGGTATGAATTAACAATTGTATTTGAAGTTATGTCCAACACTGAGCAGACATGGAGGTTAGATGTGGTACCTACATTATAGGGTTCCCCACCCGTCTTTCTTTCTTTTTTGGGTATTTATAGATAAAGTCTTTAGTGCTCTTCTTTTGGACCTTTAGACAAAAAGCCTAAATAATTTTAGCATTTGCTATCAGCACTGCAAACACTGGTGTATTAACAACTTAGTTGTGTTCACTGTTGCCAGGCCTTTATTTAACTACTTTAAATCAAATAGGAACACAGGTGTGTTCCCTAACACGGGTTGTGTACTTGGCTGCATAGGCCCTTTCTTCTAATTCCTAGTTTCAAACTTTCCTAACCTCCATTTTCTTCCTTCCAACCTTCAATATATCATAGCTCCTTCTCCAACTCTACCTTCCTACATGCCAATACATAAAACAAGTAGCTTGATAAAACAGGTAAAATGCCTAATGAAATTCAATATAAATACATGATTATGCATGATTTAAACGGAAATGCAACCTACAAATTAAAGCATGAATTGCATACAACATTAGGACAGCAGGGTAAAAGATTATTTGCTTGGAAGAATAAAGGGGAGTCAAAGTAGTTAGCAAGAGTTAGAGGGCTGTCGGCTACATAGAGGACATTCAGTTAGATAAATAGGGACAAACAAAGGTAGAGAGGACGCATTCAGGTAATTTCATTTTGTGTGAATTGAGCAAGTGCTCAATTGTATTATGGAAACCTTTTGTGAAGGAGATTATGAGAAACCCATGGATGAGAATTTCTCTCACTGTTCTGTTCAATTTCAGTCAATCTATAAAACCACCTTTTTTCTTTTCTCGATTTTCATCAGGGTTTCCTAATAGAGGGAGCATATGGTCTTTTGCCTCGTATTAACTAGCACGAAGGCTCACTTGTCATGAGGCTCTCCTCCCAGTAATCTTTTGTATGCATAGGGGCTTAAGATGTACATCAGCTTTTCAATCCACATCTAATCTTTTAATCTTTATTATCTTCATCACAATGTTTATAAATCTAACCATGAACTTTAAATTTTTCCTTAATTTGTTAACCTAAGTCAGAAAGCTGTAATATCGGATTTTCTATGTCGGTGTCACTGTCAATTGATCTTTACTCACATTATAGCTATATTCTTTTTCAACTGTGACAGGAATCGGATCTGGAATCCTTTTGCAATTCTTGTGGTCTCGAGACTTGTACAGATGCATCTGGAAATAAGTTACTTCCCACAAAACAAACTACCTTCAGTCATCCCAAAGGTGGCTTCCAGAGCTATAGTTTCTTGGGCTTGCAAGAATTTGAAAGGTAGTTTTTAAGCTTGTATGTAGATCGTGTATGTTTTCATGTTGGGTTATTGGAACAAGCAAGATCCAGGATGGCCGCATTATTTTTCATCACCATTCACTAGTTTCTCTTTGTGGTGCTCTTGGAAAACATGGGACCAAATTTGTATTATACACAGCTATTTTTGCACGTTTGTGCTTGTGAATGTGCATTTGAGTTTATATTTGGTACGCTAAAAATGTGAAACAATTTAAGCTATTTGTAAACAAGTGTTACTTCAGTATGTTGAGATTTCTTTATACTACCCCCTAACAAACTAACAATTAGGTAGTATTGCATGGTTTACTGATACGGATAATATAAAAATTCTTTAGGAGTAGGTCAAAATCAAATACCATACTTACTAAGAATTAAAGAAAATGAGTATGGTATTGATTGAACAAATTTTTGCAAAAGTCTTTACAAGAGAAGAAAATAAATATGAAAAAACAAAACTTTTTAATAAATTCAAAGTAACTTGTACTTTTTTAAGTTTTAGAGAAGTTAAATGAAAAGACTTTTGATTAAATAGTGAAGTACAAATTAATTTTAACTTATGGAAGTTTGATTTATTTTACTATTTAACTTTAGATTTCTATAAATATTTATTAATAGGTTTATTTAAACTAAATTTATGTCTATTTTGCATATGTCTTGAATTATTACTCAATTTTTGTCTAACGTTTGTAAGTATGGCTATAAACCTAGAATTAAAGTGCTCATGTTTTATCAAAGACTATGCCTGTCATCAGCCTTGATGGGAGTAGAAATGAGAGAAAAACTGAAAGGGAAAATGGAACCTGTACGGATTTTTATCAAGACCAACTTGAGATCACAGGTGATTTTTTTCTTTTTTCTTTACTTTCTGGAAGCATATAAAATATACTTTTGAAAATTAAATTTTAAAAATCAATTAAAATCACTTTTGAAATTTAATTTTGTGATTTCATGCCTTCTAAAATTGAACTTTGTAAAGTCATTTCTAAATCAATTTTAAAATTTTAATTTTAAAAATAGTTTCTTTTAAAAATTAAGTTCAAAAAATTATTTACAATTCATTTTTTAAATTGATTTTATACCTTGTGGAAATTAAATTCCTGAAATGATTCACAAAGTATCACCTTTTTATTTTAATTTTTTAGAAAGTATTAAACACATTTTTAAAATTAAATTCTAAAAATAACCATAAATAATGTGGTATAGTAAGGTTAACAAGTTCTTGAATAATTTTTTCAGTCCACTATTTATTTTTAGTCTTTATTTATTTTTTTAGAACTTCTATTTTTAATCTTTTATTATTTTATAATTTTTTTTCAGTGTAGACCATAGATATCCTCTACTAAAAACAACTCTATTTGAATCAAGTAGTACCATAAACCACAAGCTAAGTTAAAACAACTCAGCTAGGAGATCTACGTGGTCAATGTTGCATTATTTTATAATATGTGATAATAGATACGGATTAAAAAAAAATTAAAAATTGAAAAAAAAAGTAAGGGCTAAAATTAAAGACAGACTAAAAGTAAATAATGAAAAAAAAACTAAAGTTATTTAAGTCTAAAATTTAACATGTGAGGTCACAAATGTACTAGTTAAAATATGTTGTCATTACATTATTCATTATTAAGCCTCGACAAGGGTGATCTTTTTTGAAATTAAAGTTTTTGAGGTATAACTGTGTGGAAATAGATGTATAAAATCAAAGTGATATTTCTAATTTGTTAAGAAATGAAATTAAAAAAATCATAAATCAAATTTATAAATAAGAATTTGTGACTCAATAGTTTTGAAGACAATTTTTTTCCCTTTCTAGTGAGAAAATTTTCTATGATTCTATGTGGTCATAACCACTTATATTGCAACACAATTTTTTTTTCATAAATTATAAAATTTTAACACATAGTATAATATAAGTGGTAGGAATCATATGATCTTGAACCACATAATAATTTTTTCTTTTCTAGAAAAACATCGGGAAAATGAGCCCTGATTACTCATCTAAAATGGATTTAAACATTTATAATGGATTTAAGTATGCTTCCACATCTCTCTCTATCTCATTTAATACATATATCCCAGTTAATCGACGTGAAATTTGTTAGAACTTTGGTTATCATTAATGATATTTAGATTCTTTTCAAAACCTTCATGAAAACCGTATTCTATCTGATCTGCTCGTTGGCTTGTTTGACAATATCTAGCAAATGGCATTTAAATAGTGTTGGATCTTTCTCAAAAGTTTAAGGTGGTTTCTTTTTGGATTACTTTTTAAGAAATTAAATTTCGATAGTGACTTTCAGATTTAAATTTTCAGAAGTGAATGGTATTTTAAAATTTATTTTCAATTTTAAAAAAATGGTATGGTTAGTTTAAAAAAAAAAGGAGATGCAAAAACAATTACCAAATTTTAAATGTTCATTTTGTTTTATTATCAAAATGCATCTGGAGAACTTTTTATTTTGCGTGCTAAATCGTTTGTTAAATTGTCCTAGAATATCTTGTGTATTTCACATTTGTTTTCCTTTTAGTGAAAAGGGATCAAACAGGTCACCCGCAAAAATATATATTATATAGTAAATATAGTTTTGGTTCTTTACTTAATGTGTTTATCGTTACTCCATAGTAATATTAAAAAGAAAAGTATGATTAATTTAACTCATTACTTTTAACAATCAATTTTCTAACCCATCTAACATTGCACAACATATGATATTTAAAGTAAATTTTTAAGTTTAAACTTAAATGTTTAGTTCTTATAAAAATTATATAATTTAAAAATTTTTATAAAATATTTTGTTAGAATATAATTTATATTTTTTTTACAAATTATTATTTTTAATTTCTCTAACTAATGTGATTCATTGAAATAGTTTTGATTGAACTATATTAACTAAAGAAATTAAAAATAATAATTCGTAAAAAAAGTAAAAAAAAAAAAAACATCCTTAACATTATTTTATAAAGATTAAATTCAAATTGCATAACTTTTATAAAAAAAAAATAAACACTTAATTAAGCTTATTTTTTATTAAAAAGTTGTAACATATATATATATATATATAACTTATCCTCTCCAACAAATTAGGAAAATCATTTAAAAATTTATCTTCCAAAAATCGTTTATTCTCCAAAGTCAAACATGATCTTGTAGTAGTATTTTTAGTACGGGGGGAGCATGGTCATGTTGGCTAGGTAACAACCAAGTTATATTCAACTAGGTCGTATCAGCTAACGGTGAACGACTTGAATAATTTGTTGTTTAAAGGCTAAAATTTTAAAACATTTTGCAAGTTAGCCATGCTCCAGTATACAAGTAAAACTTATGACATTTTCAAACAAATTGAAATGTTTTGGCCAGACAATAAATGATAATATATCAGTTCAAACGAAAAGCATAAGCAAAGAAATTCAAGACATTCTTAATCCATCCAGCTACACGCAGTCCAATGGTTCAATTGCAATGTCGTTCTACAAATTAATCAGAAGTCTGCACAAGCATTTGTGTACACAAGATTCATGGTGGTATACAATACATGCAACACCCAAAAAAATTTGACAAATGCACAAGAGAACAAGTCTCTGATAAATCACACCCATATAAAATCTCTCAGCTCAGGAGATAAACACCTGACGACCACGTTAAAAAATTCAACATGATTCTACTAAGAGTTTCAAATCGCGCATCTCAGAAGTTTTCTTAACCAAGATCAGACACCTGACAGACAGCAGGCATATTGTTAATTGCAGTTGCACAAGAACCAAACCCCCACGCCTGACTTGACTTAGAATTTCCAGCAGTCATATGCTTATAGTCATCTCCAAGAAGGGTCGTTGAAGCATCAGCTGTGATGGCTTGGTTCTTGCCGTCTCCAGAACCCAGGTCATGCCAATCTGAAGCAAGCAAGAAGTCTGGACGAGTAATATTCAACAGGGACACGGCTTGATTTTCACTGTTAGGAGTCCAAATCTGGTCAACAGACTCTAATTTCACAATGTTGCCTGCACATGAATTAAGTAATTAAGATGGGAATATCACAAAGAATAAGAATAGATCCTTAACCGATAAGTTTAACACAAGAATTAACAAGATAACCTAACACGTCCAGTTTCAACAAAACTGATAAAGGAGTTTGTAGTGATATACCAACTCCATCATATGAAATTAGTAATAACTAGTTTTCTCTGACCCATAATATAAAATGAAACCTCCAAAATAATGAACTAGTTTCAGATTTTGCCAATGATCTATTTGAACATGTAAAGTGTGTTAAATGTTGTCAATGATCATCCTTCACACTGCACACTCAGAAGTACTAACCATTAAAGGCCTGAATGGGCTGTTCATCCAATGAATTCACATTGGCACCAAGAGCAGGGCACTCGTTCAATATTGAAGTTGCACCAAAAGGGGATACAGGGTCAGCATAGTCTTCCCATTCTGTCTCGTACACATTCAAAGCAGAGCTGTCTGGTCTGTCAACAAGAGTTGCAGTAGATGAATTTGAACTCTTGTCAGAATAATGGTTCTTTGAACTGCTCAGAGTCTTTGCCTGATAAAGTAAAGCATCCAGCAGACCACTATTTTGCAGAGAACAATCTGAATCCAGCGTACTAATTGGTGTAGGAGACTGAATGAAATCATCAACTGACTCGAGCAAAGGAGGTGGGGGAGATGTACCCCAGCTACCTAAATCAAGTTCTGGATATTGGAGTGAAGGGAGCTCCAACTTCGCCGCCTCAAAAGTTGGCTTAGAAGTAGAGGAATTGCCATTTGAAAGTGAATGGCTGTAACAAATTGAGCTGTGCGAGGAGGGACCATGATCAAGGGGTGCTTGCATTCCAAATGATTGTGCAATCTCATCAGAATTATTATCCTGAATTTGATCAAATGGATATAAACCATTTCTGTTCATATCACTGGAATCAATAAATGGCATTGTTGACTCTCTAAGGCGCTTATGCTTAGGAGATGTTGGTGGCACAAAACTACAATACTGAGAAGAATCAAGACCTTTTAGCATATTCCCATAAGCAGAGATATCAGGAAGCTCAGGCACATAAGGTAAAATTCCATGATTATCCTTCAGGCTGTCAAATATAGCATCATGTATCTCAAAACTGTTTTTCTGCAAGAAATCGGGATGCATTTTATTGCCACCATTAAGTCCACCAGTGCTTTGGCCACGCTGACTCTCCTGCAAATCTTGCAAACACACATCTGGAGGATAAAGTGGCAAGCCAGCCCGTTGACGCCTCTTGATCCGGGTGTTCCAGTAGTTCTTTATCTCGTTATCTGTACGACCAGGCAACTACAAGCAAAAGAAATTAACCACTATAACAGATTAAGGCAAAAAAGCATTTAATATTGGAAAGAAATAACTCTGGAAGAAACTTATTGCAACAATTACAATATCTTGTAACTCATGGTGGACATACTTGAAATGTTTTACTTGAAAGGTACTAAGATCTTTACTCATGAATCATGGTAAGTCACCTGAATAACTTAAACCCCTCAAATTTATAAAAGGTAAAAAAACTAAGAAAAAACAAAAACCATGAGTTTCTTTACAATTAATTCAATCTCAAGAAAAATGACACTAAAAATTCCATATACATACAATACTATCTCATAGTGTTGTACTGAAATGAATATCTCCCCAAGTATCATACCATAATACTGGTTATTAAACTCCCTAAACCAGTAAAATGATATCCAGAAAAATTTACAAATAATTTGTAAAACTCTCTATTGCGTAAAAATTGATATACAAATATATTGCAGCATTAAATGATGCTTATACAGAATAAGTGGCATTATATGCATTACGAATCTATCAAAAGACAAACAAACTGTATTCTATACATTGGTTAGAGTAGACCTCTATGTCAGCTTATAACATATTGGGACATACCCATCCACACGTAGATTATTTAATCAACTGTTTTCTTTATATATCCATGCATTTGTCGTTGTACGGCACCAAGAGATACAACTAGATTGTTCCATATTTTAGGGTAGACGTCAAAAAGAAAAGATGGTTATCAGATGGAAGTTCATTGATACAATATACACGAAAGACATAACGGTAGTGACATCACTAACAGCGAATAGAATTCAAAGATTTCACGAAAAATGTTTTAAAAAAATACATTACTATATATGTCAAGACATGCTTACATGTGCTGCCATGCGTGCCCATTTGTTTCCCATTTTGGCATGAAGTTCAGCAATCAACCGCTCCTCTTCTGAAGTAAATGCCCCTTTCTTTAAATTTGGCCTTAAGTGGTTAGCCCACCGCAGCCGACAACTTTTTCCACAGCGTAACAGCCCTGTGTGCTTCTGAACAGCATTCCAGTTCCCCTCCCCATGCTTATTGACATAATCGACCAAAATATCATCTTCAGCAGATGTCCATGGCCCTTTCTTCAGAACAACACCAGCACTTCCATCATAACCCTCATCATTCAACTGTGACCCACTCTGATCATTGGGAAGCACCTCATCTTCAACCTCGTTATTCATCTTTCTCATCTTATATAGTTTCTGCCCAAACATTCCACAACCATAAAGAAAAAGCCTTTAAAGCATACAAAAGTGAAAACGGATAAAACCAGGAAAAGTTCTAAATTTGCTTACACAACCACTAAATTTCATTTTTAAATTCCACTATTTTCAGATATTTCTTTTGCACAGGGCAAGCAGCTAAAAACCACATCAAGATAATATGAACAGAACAGCAAGAAATGATCCAAATCCATACAACTAAGAAAACAAGAAATAACCTTTAAGAAGACGCCTTAAAAGCTAAAAAGAATTACTGCAGCACATAAACTGAAATAAAAATATTCAAAAGGTACAATATTAGCCAAGCAACTAAGATGAAAGCTGGTAAGTAAAGCAGTGAGCATAAATACTCAATAGCCAAGTTTCTACTGCAGCGAAATCTGACTCAGTATTTAATGACGCTCTCCTGTAAACCAGGAAAACACGAAGTTTTTCAGACCCAAAAAAGAAAAAACATCCAAATCTATTACAGTATCAAACTAATCATGCTTACCCAAACCGGAATCAAATATAAAACGAGTAATCACATGATCATTGAACAAAAAAATCACGGCACGATTTCTACCCTAAAAAACCACAAAGGTTAAGCATGCATATATAACACGGAATTGATTCTTCCCAACACCCTAAATCCGGCCACTACAACACAGTACACATTTATTACAATATTAATAGCCTGAGCAAAGAGAAAAAAAATTGCAGCATTAAAATCATTTTAAGAGTTAATGCATTTATTACTTTCTTTATTTATTAAGATGATTTATAATTATCTTTAAATACATAAATATTTAATAGATCAAAATTTTCCACCAAACAAATTTAAGAGCAGCACGAAAACACGAAGGAAAAACAATTAACACTACAAGACGATACCTGAAAAGGAAGCGACGCTAAAATCCAAAAAAACGACTCGTTTGCGTGCAGGGAATCGGAACGAACTCGAATCGGAAGCTCAATTAAGCTCAGAAAGTAAAGGAACAGTGAAAACTGTGTTCCTAAAATTGAAAAAAATGAAAGAAACAAAAACAAATTATTTTCAAGCTGTTGTTAACGAAAGTCTAGATCAACGGCGAAAGGCTCAAAACGACGCGTTCTATCGATTTTGAACCCTAATTTGGAAAGAGAGGAGGAATTGGAATACGAACCGTAGTTTGTGAAGGATCAAGAAGACAAGAGAGAGCGGAACATGGAGGGAAATTGACAGCAACCCTCGCAAGCTCCTGTGAAGAGAGAGAGAGAGAGAGAGAGAGAGAGAGAGAGGGTTTTGTTTGAGAGAGGAAGTAGGAGAGAGAAATGTGGGAATGGAAATGGTACTCCAAACACCACCTTTCACTTCTTCAATGTTTCTAAATCAATCTTGTACTCTCGTTTATTTCATTCTTCAACTCTTCCCTTTAATTTATATACTACAATTTCTTCTTTTTTTAATTATTTTCTCCCGTGTTTTTTTAACAAAAGATGGTCATAATTATTTTTTTAACAAAAAATAAATACTTATTTTTAGACGTAATAATTCTTATATTTTTATATTTTTATTTATTACAAAATTTATATTAATAAATACTTATTTATTATTCATGTAAATGAATAATTTCATTCATTTAATGTATTAATTATTAATTTGACCATTCAAGTTTTGGTTGAAAGTTAAATTTTAAGAAAAGATTTAAATAATGAGAATTTTTATTTAAAATTTTTTAAATAAAAATAGGTTTATAAACTTTTCAAGACTCTCTTAATTATATATTTTTACGGTTTTTAATTTAACAATTTTGTATTATTTTTTATTTTTAAATTTTCAAATAAAGTTTGTGTTATGATAAAACTTAAATATAATATTTATAACATTTTCTCATCAAAATTAGAGTTTTGCCTAAATAATGTATGCCAATTTTTATCAATAATGTATTCATATTTAATTCTAACTTTTATTATATCAAGTAAAAATTATAATTATGATAATACTATCTATGATAATACATCTAAATTTTATTTTTATTTTTGTGGATACTTTTAGAATAAGAACTAAAAAAATTAATAATAACTCACTAAAAATAGAAAATATGTGCTTAAAGGAAATATTAAAATACATCAAATATATTTCGTTAAATATTTTAAATTTATAAACATAACCTCTATAAATAGATTTGATCAAACATTTCAATTAGCTAAAACTTATTTTATTAATTAAAAATTTATTCAACAAAAATAACTGTTTGGTAAGATAGTTGAAATAAGTAATCATTGATATTTTTTTAAAATGTTCCTCTAGCTAGCATTTTTTTAATACGCTACATGTTGTCTTTATTAATTTTAATAATTTTTTTTACACATTTTAAAAATTTACTACTTTTATCTCTCTCGGCATTAACTTTTTTCAAATCATTTCATCATTAAATCTTATTATAATACAATAAAATTATCAAATCATATTTTTAATATAATATCATCAAAATAGTAATATAAAATATTTTTTATTATTTTATTTTATTTAATAAATATTTTAAAATGATAGTAAAAATAAATTTTATAATTATTTAAAATTATATAATTACAAAATTTTAAATTTTAGACTAAAACTTAATTCTTATTAAAAAAATGTATATATTTTGCAAATATTATTTCTTAAGTGATAATATTTTTATAAATTTATTTTTTAAGTAAATTTTTCTTGTCATATTTATTAAATCATATTTCACTCTTTATCACTTCTAAACTAATGTTTTTCTTTTATATTTTTTTAATTTTTTATAAATTTTAATCATAATAAAAAATATGTTAAAAAATATATATTAAAAAATGTGTTACTAGCATTTTTCTATTAATAAATTTTTAAATAAAATTACTTTTAAATAATTTTATTTTTTTACAATAATTATTTATATTTTACTTCAATATTAATTTATAAACTAAATTAAGTGTTTGGTCCTATAAAAGTTACATAATATGAACTTAACTCTTATAAATATTTTTATTAATATATAGTTTTTAATTTTTTTTATATATTATTATTCTTAGTCCCTCTAACTAGTGTAATCTATAGAAATACTTATAAGTGTCAATTTTTGTAAGTATTATATCCTAAATAAATTATTTTATAAAGATTAAGTTCAAATTATATAACTTTTACATAAACTAAACACTTAATTAGTCTTAATTTATATTTTAAATTTTATTTATTTATTTTTTGTTTAAAGATTTATTTCTCTGTTTGATTTTATTTAATGTAATAGATATTTATTAAAATCAATTATAATATTTTCCGTTTTTAATTTGTAAAATTTATCAAATTAAAATAAATATAGCATATATTTTATTTTATTATTTAAAAAAATAATTTAACCTATTAATACCTACGTAATGCACAAAAAAATATTAGCTACTTAAATACACATCAATAAAAGCCATTTATTTATTTTTGTACGCAATAAATGCGAGACATATTTAATGCCTGGGAATTAATTAGGGGCAATTATACTACTGTCATTAAATACACATTAAAAAAAATTATTTATTTATTTATTATACAAAATAAATGAGAGACATCTTCAATGCCTGGGAATTAATTAGGGCCAAGTATACCAGTCATTACATTAAATTTATTTATTTAGAATAAATAATTAAAAATATATCATGCAACATTTTTTTAATTTTATAAATTTAAAAGAGTATATACTTTTATTAATAATGAATAATTTTTTTGTTCAATTATTCAAATTGGATAGACAATTTTATTTGACTAAATATAATTACTATGAGTGATAAAATTCTACCTCTAAATACATTTTGAGTATTTAATAAAATTTTATTCACAAGTTTAGTTAGAATAACCCTTATTAGTTTATTCATATACTTAGTGATTAATAAAAAAATTAATTAAATATTAAAATTTAAAAGTATATACATAATGTGAAAATAAAAAATTCAACTTGAAACAATAATAAATAAATAAATCCCTAAAAGTGTTTCAGTTTGAGAATACTTGTAAAAATATTCTCATTTGAGAGTATTCATAAAAAAAGTTTATGTTTAATGGAGTGTTTGAATAACAACTTATTTGAACACTTATTTAATAAGTTTTATTTTTGTGTTTACAAAAAAATAACATATCTCTTCAATTTAATGATATTGTAATAAAATAAAAATAACCTATATATTAAGACACTTATTAAAATTAATTGAAAAAATAACTCACGGTAGTTATAAATTATTTTTCATAAATTTTTTCAAACATGCCGTAATAATACTCCCAACACACCTATTCAAGAATTTTTCATTATTTATCGATAAAGGTTGAAAGTTGAAATTCATTTTTTTATATGATTTTTTAGTTGAAAATACAAGAAATATGAAAATTTTTGAAATATTACATGAACATGAGATTTTAGTAAAAGTCGTCTATAATGTTTTTATGTGTTAGAAATATCAATTAATATCAAAATTCGTCAAAGGTGAGATTTAAAAAAATAAACTTTTATAACAATAAATAAATAAAATTTAGGTGTGAAAAACCATTATTAATAACTTTTGGTGATTAAAAAATAATTATAAAAATATATAAACTCATCATCAATAGCTTTTATTTGTTTAAAAGTAATAAAAAGTATAAAAACTCATTATTGGTGACTTTGAATTATATAAATTAATCAAAAAAAATTTAAAAGTCTTCATTGGCAATTTTTAAGATATGTGTCTATAAATATTGAATAATTCTTATCTAGTTTATGGCCTATTAGAAGTAGAAGGTGCTCTAGTGAGATCTTTACGAACAGAAAAAAAATTGCAATCAGTTTGATAATTAGCGAGTGACATTGCTTTTTCAACTCGAACCAAAAAATCTCTTAAATATGATTTAAAATGAATCTTGTTCTATCGTTGATAAGAGATTTCTCCATGAAAAATATGAATGGGAGTTTCATGAAGGGAGGAGTCCTCAACTTGCAACAGATATGTAACGCCCCGAAAATATAATATTGTTTGAGTAAATAAATAAATAAATAAATATATATATATATATATATATTGTGGTATGATGATTGACTTGATGGTGATATGGATGTACGGATGTGCCTTAGTTTGATGGGAATGTATGTGTGAATACAGATATATGTAAATGTATGTATACATGTGTGTGATTGAAATTTGGATTGAAAGAAATAGGTTAAGTTCTGGTGCAGGGCATTCTCACTGTAGGAGATAATTCTCGCTGTAGCGAGAGGTCCCTTAGAGGAAGGCATGCGACTGTCACCTTCTCGCTGTAGCGAGAGACGTCTTGCTGTAGCGACAGTTTAGGGTGCATTTCTAGGTGCAATCTTGTTGTAGCGAGACCCTATCGCTACAGCGAGATTCTGCAAAAACCAGAATACAAATTTGTCTGAATTTTTTAATGCAGCGACAAAGGGCGTCGTTGCAGCGAGAGGAGTCACTATAGTGAGAGTGTCGCGACCAGAGGGGTATTTGAAGGATTAGGGTTCAAGGAGAGGGTTATTTTTCACGATTTTCCTCTCTCTCCTTCCCAATCCTCTCTACCTAAACCCATTCCTACCGATTAGAACCCCTCCAAGGATGTTTGGAAGCTAGATTGAAGGTGAGGGACACGTTTGGAGCTCTTGGAGGTAAGTTCCCATGGCTAGGGTTTTGGTTTTTGGTCCCTTTCTCTTATTTCTGAGGTTCTCTCTAAGTTCCTATGAAATTTATGTGATTTAGGATCAAAAATCGTGTGGGGGGCCGTTTCTACCATTACTTTGTATCGGATCTTTGTTTTGAGATAAGGGGAAGACTTTACTCTAATTATCTTTGTTAGAAATAGGTCTATTTGGTTGTTTATGGCAATGAGATAGAAATGGGAGGCGAAAATATGTGTATAGATGGATTATACGAATTGGGTTGAGTCCGGAGGTGTCCGACCTCCGGCACATTGTGTGAAATTAAGTGATGTGATTTGTGTTGGTTGTCATTGGATGCAAGGAAATGATGTGTGTATGATAGAAATGTGATTGTGAATACGTTGAGCATGATGTGTGACGATTGTGATGAAATGATTGGTTACAATGTGGATGAAATTGTGTTGACATGTCCTTGATTGCTAATTGAATAGTGTGAATAGTTGGAAATGAGTGTGGATGACATGTTGAATGAATGATGATGTGTTTGGGTATTGGAACTATGAATGGTTAAGAGATACACTTGGGGTGTGGAAGATGGAGGCAATAGAAATACCTTAGGGAAGAGAGGGTGGTGGTGACACCAACAGTGAGCGTGGGTGCACCACAAGCCACACACTCTTCTCCTGACTCGGCCTCTGACTAATACCTTTGCCTAGGGGCTCAATACCGTACATGTTGTATCCG